AAGCAGCTTTGGAACTGGCCAGCAGGGAGTGCCACTTTTCTCAGCACGGCAAGGCCTAGGGAGGCTTTCCACAGTTTAGGGGTCCAGGATGTTGCAGAGTTCAATTCTGATTGATGGTCTCTCTTCAGCTTATTGACAGAAGAAAAAAAATGGAAATGGCCAGGGATCTTTTTTCCCAGGGCAGACATGCCCTGCTGGCTATGCCTTGCCAAGATTTTCCAGGCTGTTGTTAAGGGTCAGTCAGGCTATTTGAAGGGTCAATCCTTGAATTTTATGTGCACCTAATGTGATGGTAGCTATTTTCTCTAGAATCAATCATAATTACCCAACTGTAGCTCCTACATCTCAAGGTGGTTTCTGAAATCATGGAGCTCAGGAAATCCCTGTCCTAACTGCAAACTTGGGTCCTCTCACAAAAAAAAATTTAGCAATAAATCTGGAAGTATTGCTACTTCCTGCTCACTAAGTTGTATCGACACATTAGTATTGATTAGAATGATATGTGAAGAGAAACAGTGATCAATATGCCTTTGAAAATATTTGCAAATCATTTGGCAAAAATCAGGTACATATGAAGTATATGAAGCTATTAGAAAATGAGAAAAATATAGATATGCAGATGTCACATGAGTATACAAAGGCATATTATACTAAATTAATTATCAATATTACAGAATAAGATCATTAGCTCATATCACAACTTATTAAAATGACTAACATTGAAAATACAAATCATATTAGAAGCCACCTTGTAGACCTTGAGTAAACAAAGACAGGTAAAAAAACACAGAAGGAAAAATATGGGGAAAAAATGAGCCTATATGAATCACATTTTGTTTTAGCTACCTCTAACAACATCCTGTTTATCTCACTCTTTTGCAGAGTCTTTGCAGTAACTCCATTTTTATGTATGTTATTTTCTCTTTACTTTTTTCTAGAAACATTCTAATCAAGCAGAGTGATTGACTAATATAATTGTTACAGTTTGGTTTGTTCTTATTTTTCCAGTCATGAGCCTCTCTACTTTTATTTAAAATTTTTTTTTACTTTGCAGATAATTCCATATCTGTCCTTACACAATAAGTATGTAATATGGAAGTACATATTTATTTTTGAAATGAATGTTCATTGACAAGATGCTTCGTGTGTGCTTGGAATTTGAACATGTTGCCACATGTTCACAATCCATGAATTATTTTCCAATAAATTGAGGTAATGAACAAATTAGACTCCCAGGTACTTTGTGAACTTACATACTCCCCTCATTTCTGGCCTTTTCTAGCTCTTTTATCTTCTCCTTTGCAGGCCACTCACATTTGCTTTTTTTAATTTCTCTGTAATGAAGACCATCATGGCTCTTTCGTAATCTAAGTATTCCAATGATGAAAACTCTATGGGTGGAAACTTTCCATGTGTATCACCTTACTAGAAATAAAGACTCCAGAGCCACTACTGAACAAATCTGCATTTTCACAAGATACCTAGGAAATTCATAGATATAAGTATTGTGGAGGCACGTATAATGGTCACTTCCCAACGAAGAATTTTTCATTGGTTTTTAGTTGCTTCTATTTTCATAGTGGGATTTCTCATCAAATTTCAGGTTAAAGTGAGGGACCCAAGCATATGTCTTGAAGTCTGTTATAGCTTTTTCAAGAGGTAAATTTACTGAAGTTTTGTTCTCAAGGAAATCAGGATCTTGGTGTTAGTAAAATCATGTTATGATGAGTTCAGGCCAAAACATACTAGCCAAAGCCCTCAGAGTGGGATACTTTGTATATGAACTTAAGTTTGAATAAACATGTTAGAAGTATCATCTGTGATGGGAAATGTTGAATTAAATATCAATTATTGAATTAAAGTGCAACTTCAGTTGTCAAAAATAGAAATGTCTATAATGACTTGATTTCAGAAACCTGTGATGCTTATCGGACTACCTCACTTCTCATAAATGTCCAAATTCACACTGTGCAGAAGAAAAGCTTCACTTTATCGTGGAGGGAACCCTTTGGCATTCTTTAGGGAATTTTGCATCTCCACTACTCCCACTTCTGGTTAATTCCTATGTTCAAACCAAACTTTATATAAGCAACACTTCACAGAGTCTGCAGAATAAAACCTCCAAAATGAATCATTGTTCAAAGAATTGATACTTTTCATGTCATCAATACTGTGCTTCTCTATTTTTTAAAAAAGCCTAAGACTTTTAAAGACTCTCCACAAAATCTTTCAATATATGGGTAAGATAGAAATGATTTCTATATTTTAAATTCCTTACATGAAATGTAAGAAATTATGTAATTTGTAGCAAGTTAGATTTTTGCAAAAAAAATTTCAAGATGGAAACAGTATATTATCTTCATATTTGGGGGGAGAGCTAAAATCTCTATAATTGAAATCCCTCTAAAATTGATATGGTCCTATTAGTGATGTGTATATGATCATTTTAATCTAACTATAATGACTTTATTTGGTGATACAAAACTTTAGACAATTTAAAACTAGGTTTATATATTCAAGTCATGATTCTTACATAAAAATATTCCTGATAAAATGGAATATTTTGTTTAATTAATTTTATATTCTGCCTAATGTTCAGCGTGTTAATTAAATATTAGCTGTATACTTTCATTCATTCTAGACAATATTTCATTGAATAATATGTATTTTTCTATATCTATCTATCTGGAAATAGAATGAAAATTTTTCCACTGCTTTTTATAGTCTTTGTAATATAATACCTACCCACACACACTAAATTTGGTCATTTTCATTTATATAGTAATTTGGAATTACATGAATGAAATCCCACTCCAAATAAAAATATATGCAAGCTGTGATTGTTGTTTACTTGCATTGCCTTTATTAGTTTATTAGTGGCTTTGCATTCTGCTAATAAAGCTGGCAGGAAGAAAGTGCTCTCTAATAAAACAAGCACAATTTTTAAAGAAAGTCTGTTGCAATAACTATAAACAATGAACTATCTCAATATTTTATTGTATAAATTTGAAATTTACCACATGATACTTTAATATACATGTGCATATTATAGTGATTCATGTAGTCAAGGAAATTAACATCCTATCATCTCAAATAATTAATTTTTTATTAGATGTTCTGAGAGAACTTAAAATCTACTCTTTTGTCAAATTACCACTATACAATACAATCTTATTCATTATTAAATTCTCATGTCCTTGTATTTATAAATAAAACAACTTGTAAATATGATAAGAACAGTTAGGAAATTCAAACACATTTGTTAAAAATACAAACATTTATATCTAAATTTCTGAGCCTTTATTTTTGTTTCTTGTTCAGCACATTCCCATCCATTTTTCCTTGGATATTTAGCTTTTTTGGATACATGGTTATCATCCATTCTTTCTCTCTGCTTTGACTTTTCTGCAATTATCCACATATATCTGTTGTACGCTTTGCCTATTTTTCTCCATCCTCTTATTTTCGTTTCATATACCTCTAACTTCCCTTTCAACATTTTTCATCCCAGTAAATCTCTTTTCCTTTCTCCCTTCTTTTAGGTTTTGTGATTTTTATTAAAATAATCTACAGGAAAAATATACCACAGTGACTTCACAAAGTATGCAAATACCAATCATTCTCAATGTCACTTAGAGTAAACTCATTCTCTTTATTGGTGGGTTCCTTGTTTCTCATGCATGGTAAATTGGTTTCTGCTTAACTCCATTATATGACATAAGCTGTTTTCACAAAGTCACTTAAAATTTTTTAATTTCCACAATCAAATATCTCCATTAATTCCCTATTCTGCTAGAGGATTACTTGAGTGTTTGGCCCTATTCTTCATTTTGTTTTTCTTAAGTATCTTTCTTCTTTTTAGGTACACATCTCTCTCTCTCTCTCTCTCTCTCTCTCTCTCTCTCTCTTCAGTCAGTTATCCTGTTCTTGCATGATCATTCCACTCAGTATTTTTTCAGTGTTTTTGCTTCTCCTTTGTCAAATAAATCCTTAGGTTACAAAATTAGATCATTTTTAAAAATAGAAACATGCTCAGACCAAGAAATGCTAGAAAGTTTAGGGAAATCAGCTAGAAAAATGTTCAGGGACACAAGGAAGCCTGGCAGTGAATCACCAGCCAAAACCATATCCCACCAGTATCTCACTAAGAGCTCTGATTTCCACTCTTGTCCTCAATGTAGCAACTCGCATAGACATTGCCATAGCTATTGGGGAAGAGGCATTTGCTGAAGTCTTGATATCATTTCTTTGGTTGTCCCTGTACTCCATATCTCTCTCTCCATATTTCAAATCCTGACATGTCAGTTTGGCTGTGGAAACTTATATCAAAATCCTTTACACTCATTCTAGGTGCAAAGGACATGTGAAAGTGAGGATCAAGTTCTCTGGGCTATTTAAGTATATAGAACTCTCTGCCCAGAAAAAAGACTCACAATGTAGAAAATGCTTCCTTTGTAAGCATCAAATTAAGTAATGTCTATCTGCATTTTAGTGTCAATATAACTTCAAAAATGTTTTTCCTCTTTTTTCTTTCTTTCTGCATATTCTCTGATGTGTAGGTTATGTATATCTATGCCTCCAACTCTCCTAATGGCATCAAAGTATCTACTTATTCTAGAGTGACATAGACCCATACTACTTACTCTTTTTCACATGGATATTGACAGCATGTCCTTCTACAAATTATACAATGTCACAAGTTATAAATTGTACATTTTTTATTATTGTACTGGGGGTACATAGTAACATTTATAATAATTCTGGCAATACATCATAGTTGAATTCACCCTCTCCTCCCTTCCTGGAATAATTTCAACAGGTCTTGCTTTTCTATTCACGTACATGTGTACACAATATTTCTACCACATATACCCTTTTACACCTTATCCATTCCCCCAAGTTAATGTGCCCCTCTGAAATGCTTAATGTGTAACTCAATTCTAGAACACTATACCCTAAAGTATTTTAAGCCTATCTTTTCTTTCTTCTCCTCACTACAGATGTCAGATGATATATGTACTGAACTTATGTTTGCACGTTCAGTGGAGGGTAAGTATTTAATGTACAGATTGTTGTCATTATTGAAATGACTATAAGTTAACATGAAATTCAATTCAGTTTATATCCATTGAACTAAATAGCTTTTCTATAGAACCTGACCAATGCCCAGTACACAAAATTTCCAAAACAGTTAGTGGTTCTCAATAAATTAATCAAAAGCTTAGAAGGCCTCTCAATTCCTCTAAATCTGTTACTTCCAACAACTTTTTTGAATTGAATTTTTTTCCATCTTAGTTCCCCAAAACGATTTCTTCTATGATAGAAAGTATTCTGAAATGTATATTATTTTGTCTCAACTCCACTCTTCCCATTTTCAGTTTATAAATCTTAGCAAATGGCCATTTGCATTTATTGTATTTAATTTCAGAGCACATCAGTGAGGACATAGAGAAAGAAAATACAACTTTGCTGACAACATTCGTTCTCACAGGACTTACATGTCAGCCACAGTGGAAAATCCTCCTGTTTCTGGTGTTCTTGGTGATATATCTCATCACCATTGTGGGGAACCTTGGTCTAATTGCTCTCATCTGTAATGACCCTCATCTGCACATCCCCATGTACTTTTTCCTTGGAAATTTAGCTTTTGTGGATACATGGTTATCATCCACAGTGACACCAAAAATGCTGCTGAACTTAATAGAGAAGGGCAAGAACATATATTTCCCTGAATGTATGATACAGTTCTTTTCCTTTGCAGTCAGTGTAACTACAGAATGTTTTCTCTTGGCAGTAATGGCTTATGACCGTTATGTGGCTATCTGCAAACCTTTACTTTATCCAGTGATTGTGACCACTAGACTGTGCATTCAGCTATTAGTTTTATCATTTGTAGGAGGCTTTATTCATGCTGTAATTCATGAAAGTTTTTTAATGAGACTAAACTTCTGTAATTCCAACATAATATATCACTTTTATTGTGATGTTATACCATTATTAAAGATTTCCTGTAATGATCCTTCCATTAATTATCTAATGCTTTTTATTTTCTCTGGTTCAATACAAGTGTTCTCCATTGTGACTATTCTTATCTCTTATACATTTGTTCTTTTTACAATTTTAACAAAGAAGTCTGCAAAAGGGATGGGAAAAGCCTTCTCCACCTGTGGGGCCCATCTCTCATCTGTGTGTTTATACTATGTCCCTCTCCTTTTCATGTATGTGCATCGTGGATCTTCACAAGCAGATAATCAAGATATGATCTTTTCTCTATTTTATACAGTCATAATTCCCTTTTTAAATCCAGTAATATATAGCCTGAGGAATAAGCAAGTCATAGATTCTTTGAAAAAAAATGTTGAAAAGAAATATTTAAAGTTTATATTGATATGTACCATTCTACTACAAAGTGTGGGAATATATATGGAATTTTTGGAACTTTTGTAGGAATTTTTTTCAACCATAATTGTTCTTAAACATTAATGTACTAAGGTTCAGTATAAAATTGTATGTTTTACTCATAAACATTGAGAATTTTAATACTCACTTCATACAGGTTTTAAAACAGAAAGCAATAAAGCATTTTAAACTTTTGTATGTTATTGCATCATCACTGTGTCAAGCATTGAAATATCGTAGTTCCTTTCTAAATGGCATGAAATGATACTGTATACAGAAAATTGTGCAGTATAGCCTGAAACTCTGACTAGGATTTTGTTTGACTGAGTAGAAGAAAATTCCACAAATAAAAATAGGCATCAAAAGATCTTTCATTCCACATCTTTGGAAAATAGTAGATTTCACTTCTTGGAGTAATTAAAGTGACATATGAAAAAGAAAAATAAATAAAAATTGGAACATGATCAGGAAAACAAATGAAATGTCATTTAAAATATTGAGGTGAGGTTAAATAGTGAGAATTTTTCTCAACTCACTGAACTTCTTCAAGTAAAGAGAAGTGAGTGTCCTCCTGTTGGCAATCTGAAGAGGTTTATAATTCAGAAGAAAAGAGTACAGGGGGACATAGGAAATAAAAAAGAACTGTGGCAAAATAGTGGGTTTCCTTATTCAGTCTTTCTGAATTGAAACAAAACCAAAAGTCAAAATATAAAAACAAAATACATATAAAAATCAGTAACATTTAAATGTTGCTAAAAATTATTTAAATGAGGGCTTTTTTATTCATTAATTTTTAATAAGGAATATTCTTTGTTCATGGGGGATTCAATGTGACAATTCCAAATAAGATTATATTGTATATTGTTTAAATCACCCACAGTGTCTTTCCCCCTAGACTCCCTCCTTTCTTCATTTAAAGCAATTGCAAGAGGTTTCTTTGTCCTATATCATATAAATAAATGAAGTACATCAACCATATTGTCTCACCTTAATCTCCTTCATTCACCCTTCCCCCTCCCACCAGTACTCTCCTTATACTGTAGGGACGGTACCAATTTTACAGTCCTGTTTTTTGTTATTAATTTCTAAGTCAATGTTCAAGGGAGCTTCTCAATGTACCCCTATAGTGTTTATTCTTTACTTTGGTCTATTTAACTCCCTCCATTACTCTCCCTTACACCTTTCTTCCCAACCCCACTTTTTTCAATAGGTGTGCATACATATCATTATGGCATCTGCCTTCACAGATGTTATGTGGTGCTCTATCATTTTCCCTCCTCTCCCATGTTCCATAAAGTAGCTCCACTATTACAACCATGTTCTGCATATGAATTTGTATATTATCATGCTTGTTTTTTGTATATTTTTATCTTTTGCATTTTTCTTCCATATATGAGAGGAAACATGGCACCTTTGTCTTCCTGAAACTGACTTTCTTCACTTAACATTATGTCCTCCAATTGCATCCATTTTCCTTCTAACCACAGGTGTCATTCTTCCTTATGTATGAGTAATATTCCTATATTGAGTTGTGATAAACATTAATATGCAAGTATCTTTATTGTATCCTTATTTACATTTCTTGGGATATATCCCCCGAAGCAGTATCACTGGATTATATGTCAGTTCTATTTTGAGATTTTTGAGGAATTTCCATATTGCTTGCCATAATGGTGATAATAACTTGCATTCCCATCAATAATGTATAAGAGTTCCTGCTTCTCTGTTTCTCTTCCAGCATTTGCTATTGTTTCTCTCTTGTATATGGCCATTATAATTGGGATAAGTTGAAATATTAGTGTACTTTTGATTTTCATCTTTTTTATAGCCAAGGAAGTTGAACACTTCTTAATGTATTTATTGGCCATTTGTACCTCTTCCTTTGAGAATTCCCTGTATAATTCATGTGCCCATTTCTTCATTAGAGTGTAGATTTTGGGGGGTTGAGTTTTTTAGTTCCCTGTATATTGTGGATATTAGTCCTTTAGTGGATAAATAGCTGTCACAGATTTTCTGCCATTCTGTGAGTAGTCTCTTAGGTCTAGTGACTGCTTATTTTGCTGTATGGGAGTTTTTAGTTTGATGTAGTCCCGTTTGTTCATTCTTTCTCTTAGATGTTAAGCTTTTTGAGTTCTATTTAGGAAGTTGTTACTTATGCCTATATGTTCCATTGTCTTTCCTACTAATTTCTGTAGGTGTTACAAAGTTTCATGCCTTATATTAAGATCTTTGATCCACTTTGAAATGGCACTGATACAAGGTGAGACACAGAGATCTAATTTCAGTCTTCTACAAGAGGGTGTCCAGTATTTCCGGCAACATTTGTTGAAGAGACTGTCATTTCTCCATCATGTATTTGGGGATCTTTTGTCAAAGATCAGTTGACTATAGTTGTGTGGGTTCATATATGGGTCTTTTATTATAATCCATCCATCTTCATGTCTGTTTTTGTTCCAGTACTGTGCTGTTTTTATTGTCATGGCTCTGTAATACAGTTTGAAGTTGGAATTGTGATACCTCCAGTATTGGAATTTTTGCTCAGAATTGCTTTGTCTGTTAGAGATCTTTTTTGTTTCCCTATGATTTTTGTGATCTATTTTCCTTTCTCTGTGAAGAATGTCATTGGAATTTGATAGGGATTGCATTGAGCATGTACATTGCTTCTGGTGGTATAGTCATTTTCACATTGTTGGTTCTACCAATCCACAAGCATGGGAGATCCTTTCATCTGATGTCTTCTTCAATTTTTCTCTTCAGTGGTTTATAGTTTTCATTGAAAAGGTCTTTGCCTTCCTTCATTAATTTATTCTGAGGCATTTTATTGTTTTGAGACTATTATATATGGAATTGTTTCCCTGATTTCATTCTCAACTCTGTTCACTGTTGGTGTATAGGAAAGCTAGTGGTTTCTGTATATTAATTTTGTATCCTGCTACTTTGCTAAAAGAGTTTATGAATTCAAGAGTTTAGGAGTGGTGTTCTTAGGGTCTTTTAGATATAGAATCATGTAATATGCAAAAAGAGATAGTTTCACTTCTTCTGTCCCTATTAGAATCCTTTTTATTTCATCCTTTTGTATTATTACTCTAGTTAGAAAATTCAAAACTAGCCAGGCAATGGTGGCTTATGCCTGTAATTCTAGCTACTCAGGAGGTAGAGATCAGTAGGACTGTGGTTCAAAGCCAGCCTGGGCAAGTAGTTAGTAAGACCCTGTCTTGAAAAAAACCCATCACAAAAAAGGGCTGGTGGAGTGGCTCAATTTATAGGCCCTGAGTTTAAGCCTCAGTAATGAAAAAGAAAAAAACTTAGATTGAGTAACAGTTGGAAAAGTGAGCATCCTTTTCTCATTCCTGACTATAGCAGGAATTGTTTCAGTTGTTCAAAATTTAGTATAATGTTGGCTATAGGTTCGTCATATGTAGCTTTTATTATGTTGAGGATCATTCCTTCTGTTCCTAGTCTGTTCACAGCTTTTATCATGAAAGGGTAATGAATTTTGTCAAAGGATTTTTTTGCATCTAATGAAAGGATCATATGACTTTTTCCCTTGCTTCTGTTTATATGCTATATTAAATTTACAGATTTACCTATGTTGAACCATCCTTGCATCTCAGGAATAAAACTGACTTGGCCATGCTATGTGATCTTTTTGCTGTGATGTCAAATTCTGTTTGCCATTATTTTCTTGAGAATCTTTACATCTATGTTCATTAAAGATATTAGTTTATAATTCTCTTTTTTGTTTGCATCTTTATTGGGTTTTGGAATGAGTGTAACTCTGTCTTCATAGTATAAGTTTTGTAGGGTTCCTTCCCTTTCTATTTCCTACAAAAGTTTGAGGAGTATTTTTATCAGTTCTTCTTTAAAAGTCAGGTATAATTCAGCCACAAATCCAGCAGATCATGGGCTCTGTTTTATAGGGAGGCTCTTTATTACTGTTTCAAGCTCATTCCTTGTTATAGGTCTATTTAGGTGGTTAGTATCTTTTTGGTTCATTCTTGGTTGGTTTTATGCATCTAGATATTTATCTATTTCTTTTAAATTTTCCAATTTACTTGAATACAAGATTTCAAAGTATTCCCTAATTATATCTGGATTTCATTAGTATTTGTGCTTATACCCCTTTTCCATCACTGATTTTAATAATTTGGGTCTTTTCTCTCCTCTTTCTTGTCATGTTGGCTATGGGTTTTTTGATCTTGTTAAATTTTTCAAAGGAGCACATTTTTGTTTCATTGATTTCATTGTATAATTTCTTTTTGATCTTGAGGCCATTGATCTCAGCCCTGATATTTATTATTTCTCTCCATTTGCTACTTTTGGGTTTGGTTTGTTCTTGTTTTCCTAGAAGCTTAAATTGCATCATTAGTTTTGAGAAGACTGTTTTTTAATGTAGACACTGATAGGTATAAACATTCCCCTTTGCATGGCTTTTGATTTTTCCCACAGATTCTGGTAGGGTATATTTTCATTTTCATTAGACTCTAGGCTCTTTTTGATTTCTTTACTTATTTCTTTGATCACCCAACCATCATTCAGCAATGTGTTGTTCAGTCCCCATGTGTTTGAACATTTTCTGTTTTTCATTTGTTGAGTTCTAGTTTTATTCCATTGTGATCTAATATGATACCAGAAAGCTATTTCAATTTTCTTAAATTTGTTGAGACTTACTTTGTTCCTTAAAATATGATCTATTTTGGAGAAAGTTCTATGACCTGCTATAAAGAATGTGAATTGCATGGTGGTTGGGTGAAATACTCTGTAGATATCTATCATGTCCATTTAGTCTAATGCACGGATTGGTTCTGAACTTTCTTTTTTGATCTTTTGCCTGGTTATCTATTGGTTATGGTGGAATATTCACATCTCCCACTATCACTGTGTTGAGGTCTATTTGTGTTTTTAAGTCCATTATGTTTTTTATTTAATGTGTAGTTGGGTGCCCTTATGTTTGGAATATATATGTTAAAATTGATATTTCCTCTTGATGAATTGTTCCATTAATAAAAATGAAGTGACTTTCATTGTCTCTTCTGACTGATTTTGGT